GTGATGATGTAGTGGTGGTGGTAGTTGATGTTGTTGTTGATTTTAATTCTTCATAAGGATTAACAGGGACTCCAACAGGAGAAACCATTATTAATCTTTCAATATGCTCTGGATATTTCAGTGCGTATACGGCAGCTAAATAACCTCCTAAACTGTGACCTAACAATGTCATTTTTTCAATTTTATGTATTTGTCGCCATTTTTCAAGCGAATCTATAAAGAAATTCTCAGTTTCTTCAACACTTTCATCGACTGTTTTTCCTTTCACGTTAAATTTTGGTCTAGAACTTCTACCCATTCCCAGCCAATCAATACTATATATTCTCCAACCTGGAACTTGACTAAGAGCATGATAATTACGATAAAAAAATCCTAATCCAGCTCCAAAACCATGACACATAACTAGATTCTTTGCAGGAGAATTTTCATTAAATGCGGCGGTATGAGATCTAACGGATAAATTTGTTTGTGATATTAGAGTAAAACCAAGCTCATTATCAACAGACTCCGAAAAAAAAAGGATCATTTGATGAGGTTTCTGTTGATGGTATTGATCCATTTTCGATAACAAAATCATTGCCAATTTGATCAATCACCAAAGTATTTATTTTTCTGACTCCATCACCATCCAAATCGACTAAACCAATACGAACAATTGTTTTCGAGTCCCCCGGTGTACCTGTTGTTTTCCCTTCCATTCCATAATATTGCATTTTTGATAATAATCTCGCTTCAGCTGCTTCATAAGTTTGCTCAGAACGTGAATACCAATGTCTTAGTGAAGCAAATCGAACATATGGTGAACTATTTATTTATATATATATGTGTGTGTGTGTGTGTGTGTATAGAAATTATAAATAAAGATACTAATTAATATTTAATTAACAATTAATAATTATAATACTAACGGTGCAGGTGGTATATTTGCTTGAGAAGACAAAATTTGAAATGTTTGATGGATAGCATTTGTAGATAAAGAAGAGGTAGTAGATAAAACGGTAGACATTTTATTAATGGGAAGAATTTTTAAAAAAGAGAAAATATTAATAATAATAATGGTAATAATAATGGTAATAGTAATAATAATAATATTATTATTACGTAAAATTTAACCGAATACTGACTAACCAATAAATAGTTGTTTGTGTGACATTTCACTAATTGACGCTACCAATAATTTACATTCCAGGTTAGTAGACTTCTATTCTTTTAAAAGGAATCAAATGAATTTGTTGCTTGGGGAATATTTCTTTGTTATCTTGCTTAGGAAAATGTGAAAAAACATGCATGGAAAGAGAACAACTTCATTATCGTCATCTTCAACATCAATCCTTAATTTTGATACCAAAAAAAAGACGAAATAAATTCTTTTATCAAATTCAAATATATTAGGATAAAATTATTTTATTAAACAATTAAAAAAGATGTGGAATTTACTATGTGGCTCCCAAATGCTTGAATATCGATCCATTCTACTTAGATAAGTGTTTCAAATGCGAATGATATTGTGCAGATAGTTGTAAAATAAAGTGTAAAGGGAAAGGCGTGATTTTTAAATATGGATTTATCAATCCTATGTTTTTTCATAATCAAAATAATCAAAATTGAATTTTTATTATTTCGTTATTTGTTTTATTAATTAATTTTAATAGAACGCTGAGGCATAAATATTTTTTTATAAAATTAATAAATGAAAAGAATATTAATAAGAATTTATCTAAGGCCAGTGTATCTTTCAATGAATGGAATCTTATCATCATCAATCTTTAGCTAAATCATTACGTCTTAGCAGACATTGATTATAAATCCAATGTGAAATAAATCTAAAGGATATGTCTGCAAGTTAAGGGACCACAGGAGCCTTAATGATCTATAATTGTTGAAAGAGTCAAAAGAAAAACTAATAATTTAATGTGGGTTTTTTAAAAATATTCCACACCACTTGTTATCTATCAGTTGTCTGTTTTTAAATGAAAAAAAAAAGCGTGTACTGCTAGCTAAACTAAAGAAAAAATTTGTTGAATTTGTCCGCTTTCGAAATATTTTGTTAAAACGTTACAACTATATAGGGATGGGAAATTGTATGAAAATTTCAAACTGCATCTGCCGATCTTTTTTATTTTTAAAAAAAATTTTTATTATTATTAAAAAAAACAAAAACAGATTTTAATCACTAATATTAGTCATGATTCAGATGTATATACATCACTATCATCATTTTCACTTCATTAACATCATCTTCCTGTTCCTCATTATCATTACCAGTATCAGTGTTTCCATTGACATTATCTTTTAATTTATTTTGATTTTTTTGATTTTTGTAATTATAATTAAAATAAATAAACACTAATTTGAAAACCATACAAGATGTTAGTCTATTTCTTTTTTTATCATGTATATATATATGAGAATGCAGACCAATTTCTTTCAGAATTTTCCTTATTTCTTTTTCAGTTAGTTTGTCTTTTAACTTTTTCTCGGCTTTTTGCAGTTCTCTTTCATTCAGGTTACAGTTGTTAGTATGGTACAACAGAGCAAGCACCTTTTGTGGCCAAAGAAGGTGACTATGAATTAGAAATAGAAAATATAGACTAGAGATGCTCCATGCGTATGAAAAAAAAATGCAATGCGCATGATTTTTTTTCAAAGGTCATATACAGAAAATGCAGAAATTAAATTTTACAATATAAAGCCCGTAGTGGTATATTTGGCAACGCATGGGGATATCTATCAATAATGTGGATTTATTAACCTGGTGGAAAGGTAATTTTGGAGCTGTGGCACCTGAATTGACAAAAGTTGCAATAAGAGAGAGTTCTTTCTATTCCTACCTCATCAGCTGCAGCAGAAAGGATTTGGTCTACATTTTCTTATATACATGATAAAAACGAAATAAATTGACAAATGATCGTGTTTTTAAATTAGTTTGTATATATTTTAATAATAAATTGAAACCCCCAAGATAAGTAAAGTTACAAATGTAATGTTGATTATAGTGATATTGACAGTTTAAAAGTAGTAATGCCGAATATAATGTTGAGTGATTTTTCTTAAAAAAAAATGCACTGCATGAAAGGCACACGATGCAATTTCCCATCCCTAATATGGACACTAAAATTATCTATGATTTGCAATAAACAAAAAATAATAGCTGCTGTCAAAGAAAAATGAAAACAGATAATAGCTTTTGAAAAAATTTGGATAATAAACCTATTTAATAAATCACTCTTTTCCTATATTATATTTGATTTTTTTTTTTTTAAAGAAATATTTACTAAAATAATTTATATGTATTTAGTTCATATAAAGGCTCTGATAATGATTCTTTAGAAAATTAAAGTTCTACATCTTCTGGAACAGGATGGACACATCCCAAAATTATGGAATTAGGTTTGTTGCATGAGTATTATTTCAATAAATGATGTAAAATAAACAGATTTCCGTAATCAGTCGATTAAATCATGTGGACAAAAGTTGGATGAATTTCAAATAAAAAAAAAATGTAATATGCAATGTTTATATACTTTATTACTACATTAGCATTATACATGAAATTAGATTCTATTTATGATTATGTTATTATAAAATCATTATTATCATTATTATAAAAATTACAATTGCGTCTATATGTATCCAGAAACATTTCAAAGATCAGTTTTTTGTTTTTTACCTTGATCATCTGTTGTAGTTGTCTGAGGTGTATCTTCTTCTCTAGATCGTTTGATTTGAGTAGTAGTTGGTGTTTCCAAAGGACCTCGATACCTTTGTAATTTTACTGGTGGTTTAGATGCTTCTTCGGGTTTAGGTGTGTCTTCAGAAATTTTTGTAAGAGCCTCAGGTGTCTCTGTTGGTTTAGCAGGGGGTGTTGGTGCTTCCATAATAGGTCTAGAAGCTACTTCAGGATTTGGAGTTTCAATGGGGTTAGATGTGGTAGTTTCAGGCTTTGAGATTTCTAGAGGTTGTGCTGCTGAAATAACTTCAACAGTTTGTAAAGAGGTCTCCTGAGCTTTTTTTAACTCAGAAATTTCATTCTCTAGCTTTTTATTTTTAGTGGTCCACATGGTTTCTTGAGACCTTAATCTTAATAACTCTGTTTTCAATTTCTGAGCATAACCTTTTAAATTCTCAAACTGCAGATATAAAGAAAGAAATTTGTAAAAAAACTCCAACTAATCAATATAAATATAAATAAATAAATCTATAAACTTACTTGTCCCTTAAGGGTCTGAAAATTCTTGGTAGTAGTTTGATCTGTTTTCTTAGATTGAAGTATTTCTTTATTTAAATCATCGATTTGTTTCTTTGAATCAGTAATTTGTTTTTTAAAGTTGGCTACATCAATTCTTAATCTTGAATTCTCTGCTTTTATTGCGTCTCTCTCTACTTTTAATGCATCTTTTTCTTTAATTAATGCATCCTTTTCTCTCATTAACACGTCCTTTTCTTTCATTAATGTGTCCTTTTCTCCTTCGGATTTTTTCAATTTTTCTTTAGTTTGTTCAAGTTCATCTGGATCACTTATTCCATGTTTTTCTAAAACTACGTGAAATCGTTCTCTCCACCAATTTCTATCATTTTCTACAAGATTTAGCTCTTTGGCTGATTTTTCAATTTCTAATTTTAATTTCTG